GTGTGTGTGTGTGTGTGTGTGTGTGTGTGTGTGTGTTTAAACAACACAAATGTTACAGCCTGTGTCTAGATGTCCTCCCAAAGCTTCATGGGGACATAGCTGGACCTTGGGTAGGTGATGCTAGGTTAAGGGTGTGATGATGGAATTAACGGTGTGTGATTTGGTATAGTTCTGGGTGTGGGTGATGGGTAGGCCCACCCTGGGTGTGGGTGGCACCACCCAAAGGGCAGGTAGCCTGGAAGGGATAAAAGAGAAAAGTAGGACACTGCTCCCCTCTGCCAGAGCAGATGTACAGGAGCAAGACGTCATGTGTCTGGGGCTGCAGGATTCCAATGGTGGTCTGTCTGAGTGTCTTCTGCCTGTGTCCAGGGTGACGCACTGTGTCCCTGGAGCCAGGCTGACCCCATTCCAGCCCCAGCTCCACCGTTTCCCAGCTGTGACCTGGCTGGGATGCTCGGCTGCTCAAACCTGTTAGGACTGGCAGGCTGCGATGGTTCAAACTTACAGGAGGTCAGCAGTGAATTTCCCATGAGCCAGTTGAGAATCAAGTGCTGCTGACACCAGTGCAATGACCACCTTGATGACCTCCGTGACTCTGCTTACCTCTCTGTTAATGGGCTCCTCACATCCACTTCCTAGGGTTATTGTGAGTGTTGAGTAAGAAAAATGGGAAGGTTCTGTCTTCCACACAGCATGTATTTAACAAATGTCAGGGCTGTTCCTTTCCTCAGGTCAGCAGGTCCTGTAAAGTCACGGTGCACTCGACACTCGTGCTCACCATCTGACAGCTCCCAGCCTCCCCATCTCCGAGCTTTGCTCTCCACGGCTTCGTCTCCCGCGACTCCGTGAGGGCTGTGTCACCTGTGACCTAGGGGCTCCTCTGCTGCACCCTGGGTCTCCTCTCCAGGGCCGTGGAGCTCCTGAGTCGAGGGGTTCAGCCCCGCTTCCTTTTCTGTTTCCCCACCAAATGTGGTTCACGGTGGCCCTCAGCTGATGAGGGTGGACTGTAGAAACGTGTGCACACAAAGAGACGCACAGCTGTTCTCAAGGCGCTGCTGCCTGAGTTTGCACCCCACTGGCGGCCAGCCTCCCACATGGGGTCTGAGCCCAGGAAGCCTCCCGTGACTTGGCACTGTCGTTGCTTTACCGTGGTAAGGTCTCAGCAGTGTTGTACACGTCTGCATTGCAGCGTGTGTAGTCTGTGCACAGTTGTGCTTGAGCCCGTGTGTGTCTGTGCCTAGAGCAGTTGCTTAGGGGGATTCTTTTCCTTTATAGTCCCCCTGAGGAGGATATATTTTCCTACTCCTATCTCGCCAGAACTGGTACACAACAGGCACTGGAGAGCTACTAGAATGAGTGGGGAAAGGGATCCTGGATATGAACAACACATCTGGTGTTGTCCCCAGGGCTACAGCCGCCCAAGTTACTGTTTTTTGTTTTTCTCATTATGGATCTGTCAAACTGATTTTATTTAGTGGTTCATTCCTTCATAGCTTTCCTGATTCTCTCCTTTCCTTCTCTCCCTCCCTTCCCTCCTTCCTTCCTTCCTTCTTTTCTTTTTTGTGAAGCATAGCCTTAGTTTTTACAATTTAAGACAATTTATGGAAAAAGGGAAGGTTAAAATGTGTTCAGTTGGCAGAGGTTTGAAATGTTGGAAAGCTTAACTGAAAAAAAGTGCGGATTTACATTGCACAAGCAGCTCATTTCCAGCTGTGGGCCAGTGTGCACGGTGTGTGCATGTGTGTGTGCGTGTGTGAGATCCCCCGCACCTTCCCTGGTGTCCACTCACCTCACATTGTCCCCGTCTGCGGTCTCCATCAGGAGTCCTGTGCTGTTGCTCATTTTATCCTCCTTCCATGCCCGTCAGAGCTCCGGGCCAGGGCTCGGCATCCAGGCTGGTCCCTTGGGAAGTCCCCACGGAGGCCCTGAGCGCTGCAAGTGGGATTTGCCCCCTTTCACACCACCCCCGGGGTTCTGCTCCCCCTAGGGCCCGTTCTCCCCATGGTGCACCTTAGGGACTGTTTCTGCAGTGAGAGTGAGCTGCTGCCCGTGGAACGCCGTGATCCAACACTTCTGTCATGGTCTTCTTCCTCCTCCCTGTCCGCAGAGGCAGCCTGCATGGTCATGAATAGCATTTGTGATGTAGCTGTGCAGAGAGACTTGCGTGACGCAGCCTCAGGAGGACGGGCGTGGCTCAGGCCCCAGTCACCAAGATGAGGCGCAGGGCACAGAGCAGAAGCCCTCAGGCCTGTTTGGAGAGCTCAGGCTGCCCCTCGCACTCCCAGAGGTGGTGTTTGGAAGGTGTGAAAGGGTCCGGGGGATTGTAACGCGCAGAGAGATCTGGGAACTGCCGAACTGGGGACTTCACAGACGGAGCATGGCAGATGTGTCGCCTGCAGGTCAGCAGCATCAGCTACTTGTTCAGAGCAGAAATTCTCAGCCTGCACCTGGACTGACCAAATGCTAAACTCTGGGTGGGCCTCCGATGTCTCTCTTAACAAGGACCAGAAGTTTGGGGCAGTTGGAGAGCAACCCTCACCATGAAATCAGAGAGTGGGGATGATTTTTTGTCTCCCAGGAGGCCTTGATCAGGGCCTGAGACACTTTTGGTCTCACAGTGAGGGGCAGAGGAGTTGCTGGCCCTAGGGGGAGCGGGACAGGGATGCCGCCTCCCGCCGCACACAGCAGGGACCCTGGGGTGCGGCCTCTCTAACTCACCTCTGTCCCTCCTGCTTGGTCCCCACCACCACCCTGTCCTCCACTCAGGGCCTGAACAGCAGCCCCACGATTAACATATAGGAGGTGAGCTAGGTTTACAGAAAGAACAGTCGGGCTTGTTCTTAAAGTAGCTGACTGAGAAAGCTGTGGAGGTTCTGGCTCTCCTTCGGGATGCTGGGGTGGTCCTAGGTTTGTGGGAGATAATGCTGGTCACACCCACCTGGGCATTGGCCTAGGGAGGTGGCTGTTTGGGGTCAGGTCCTAATAAAGAGTCCACCAGACAATTTAATTGGTGAAAATTATGACTATGGGTTATTTCTCAACATCAGATGTCTGATTATTTTATAAACAATAAATAATACTCTATCATTGAATGGTATAAAAAGATTGGCCATGTTCAATATTGCATTACTAGATTTTTCACCTTTTAGGTAGTGGTATAGACGGGTAAATATTTGTTGATACCAGGAGGACATACGCAGGACACCAAGATAACACCATTGTGCTCTCAGAATTTATAACCTCAGTACTTGGAACAAAGATGTCCCTGAAATATTATCATCCCATTTTGCAAAGGTGGAAAGTGAGATCCAAAGGCAAATCAACTTGCCCAGCAGGACTGAGCCTACAGTCACTAACAATTACCACGGAGGCCAAGTGTGTTCATTTTTAAACCAGATTTGAACATGATTTGTTGCTGCAGAATTTTTGCTCATTCACACTTGGTTTTATCCACCCAATGGATATTTATTGACCATGAGCCATGTTCTGAAGTCACACTGAGCTGCTGACTCCTCGAGCTGGAATCTGCCTGTAGAAAGTTCTCCTTTTTGTCCTGTGGGGCCTGGTAACAGCTCTCTTCTTTCCCTTCCAACATCCTCTGCACAGGTCCTTGCCTTGCCCAAGGTTCCAAGTATCCACTCTGTCCTGAAAGTGTCAGTGGAGACCGGGGAAAAAAGCGCTCTTCCTACCAGGCAGAGGCCGGACAAGGCTGCCTCCGGTACTTCCTGATCACCATGACATGGAAGAGCACAGGCAATAGCTGCTCGTCTCTGTGCACCGACACCACCATGATTTAGAGAATTAATCGGAGTAAATTTCTTTCTATAAAAGTCTTTTGTTCCACCCGGTTGTCTAACGTATTTTCATCTTAAAGAGCTTCATATTTAAGGGCAAGACCATGAGGTCTCTTTCTCTTTGGTATTCTTAGTCCTTTTCTATTCCCTCAAATTCCTTCCCACCCCTGTTGGTTCTTCTACTTTAGCTTTCAGCTGTCCTCAGTCTACTGTCACTACCTGGTCTCAGTTCAGCTAAAAGTGACCACCATGGCTTTCTGTATGCCCCAGGTCTAAGGGTTTGCTCTGAGTTTGGAGCTGGCTCATTTGTCCTTGTTTTTCTGTGATTTCATTGCCCTTTATATGTGATCTTATTCTTGGTTTATCCCAAGGTGCATCAGTGCCTCCCAGCATGGGCTGCATTAGGGAATTACGGCCACAACCTTCAACCGTGCTGGTCCAGAATGAATCCTCAGAAGGCTGCCTCGAGGTCACATGACAGAGTGGTCTGCAAGTGGAAAGTGTGATTATTACAGCAGGAGATTCATTACCATTAATTCCCATCTAATACTTCCCTTACTCCAAACACCTCTAGTTCATCATGCTCGCCAATTGCTGAGGCAGTTCTACTACACCTCCTCTTTCATGAGTGTGTTTGTGAAGGTGATTAAAAAAAAGTGTGCTGCATCTCACTGCCACATGCCATCCAGTGGAAAGGAAGACTTGTAAAACCATCACAGCGTGCCCTCATCCGCCTTATTCACCAGATCTGGCACCGTGACATTTCTGGCTCTTTCCCAAAGTCAAAATGACCATGAAATGTAAACGTTTTGCATTGATTCAGATCACTGAGTCAGCCATGACAGTGAAACTAGAGTCACACGGAAAGGAAAGGGGACTACAAAGCTGCTTCAGACAGTGAGAGAAGGATGGCAGCAGTGTGTCTTTGAAGAGGATTTGAGGGGAATGAACGGCAATGCACCTCTTACTGTTACACATTTTTAATTTAAACATCTGAGGTATTTTTATTAAACTTCATATTGAGGATTTTTGCATGTATGTTTGTTTATAGTTTTCTGCTTTTATTTTTGTTTTTGAGCCATGTCCTTCTCTGGTTTGATTTTAGGACAATGCTAGCTACATAGAACGTATTTGGAAGTATTGTCTTCCTTATATACATGGAAAAGTTTGAGGATTATTTGTTGTTAGTTCTTCTCTAAAGTCCTGATAAAATTCATCAATAAATCTGTTGGGTTCCGGGCTTTAGTTGACAGAGTTTTTCTTACTACATGAACTCATTGCTTCTTATTTAGGGTTTTTATACATCTTGTTTGTTCCATTTTGGTAGATTATGTATGTTTAGGGATTTATTCATTTCATCTAGATTCTGCAATTTATTGGAATATAAGTTTTAAAAATGGTTTCTAATTCTCTGGACTTCGGTGGTTTGTGTCAAAATTTCACTTTTTGCATTTGTAATTTTAGTAATGTGGGCCTTTTTCTTAATTCTGGCTGAAGGTTTATCGATCTTGCTTGTCTTTTCAAAGAACCAACTATTTCATTCATTTATCTTTTGTATATTTTTAGTCTCAATTACATTAATTTCTACCCTGATCTTAGTCTTTCTTTCCATGGCTTGGGGTTTGTTTTGTTTTTGTTTTTTCTAGGAACTTGAGATGTCCCTTTAGGTTATTTATTTGGGATCACTCTGGTTTTCATTCTCTTGTTTGTAGTACTATGGATTAAATCCAGGATTTTTACACTGAGCTGTTTCATTTTGAGATAGGATCCTGATAATTTGTTAGGTTTTCCAGGTTGAGCTCACACTTGTGCCAACCTTGCCTCCACCTCCCAGGGTGCTGGGATTGCAGGCATGCACCGCCACCCCTGGCCCCCCGTCTCCTGATATCCGCTCTTACACCAATAAAATTCTTTCCTAGAACTGCTCTTATTGTGTCCAGCAGATTCAGATGTGCCGTGTTTCTATTGGTAAATCTCTTCAGAGACCCATTTGTCACTGAAGGGTGGTGTGTTAGTCAGTCAGTCTCCACGTTTGTGCGTTTGTCTGTGACTTCCTTTGCCGTTGATGTCCGGTTGGCTCACGTACATAAAGCAGCTTAAATCCCTCCCATTCCTTCCCCTCTCTCTGTCTCTGACTCCCCTTCCCCTTTGAGAAAGATCTATCTCCCTAGTTCCTATTATCCACCTTTTATTTTGCTTTTGTATTTATATTTTGGGTTTCTCACATAAGAGAAATCATGGAATATTTAAGCTGTGTGTCTGATTTATTTCCCTTAACATTATGGTTTCAAGGTGCATCCATTTTTCTACAAATGACTCAAGTTTATCTTTCTTTATGGCAGAGCAGTGCTCCATTGTGGGTAAATACCACAATTTCTTTATCCTTTCATCTGTTTATGGACCTGTGTTATTCTAGACATTTTTATTTGTAGTTTAATTTCCATAGTTCACTACTGAATAATAAAATCTTAGGATTGAAATGCAAAACATTTACCAAAAGAGGTCATTGTTGGCCTAAGTAATGAAAAGGAGGCGGGCCCAACTCCACTGACACACAGAGCTACTACGTGGCAAATATTGTTCAATTTAAATGCAAAAACCATATAGGAGAAGTTATTTATCTAAATTTGTAAAAATGGCTCTTAGAGTTCAAGTAAGCTTTCTGAAATATACAGAAAACCATATAAATTTGAAGGTTCAGGGTGACGACACCAGCTGTTAGCTTTTGCCATGATCAGAGTTGTAACTTAGCCACACTGACTCACATTACGAGGCCTTTCGACTGTACCATAACAGTACCACTGGCAATAGCCCATCTCTGGGTCTGAAGGCCACGAAATCACTTTTCATAGAGCTGGGCTTGGGGGTGCCCTGTACTGAGCCCTCCTCCTCCACCCACCCCCAGTATTAGTAGCACAATTTTGAGTGGGCTGGAGCAAACCAGGAATGCATCACCATTAAATATCACTTCTCCGCCTCCATCAAGTTGGCAGCTCCAGCTGAGCTTTGGGCTAATGCAGGGACGTGGCCTCATCCCAGCTCACCCACTTTGGGAACAGAGATCGGTTCATAACCTTGTGTGCGAGGCAGTAACCCTCGCTAGCGACTCCTGCGTGGAGAACATCGATGGCAGGGCGGCAAAGGGGCAGGACAGGAGCCCAGAGATGAGCCGGGTGGAAGCTCCACGAGGTGGGTCAGAGTGGAGCCCACCGACTCTGAGCCAACATATTCACGATGTCCAAATCATCACACAAAATAAGACAATTAGTCCCCAGAATGAATCTTTTTTGGGGCATCTATAGAATGTGGAACTTTCAGCTCAACAGTTTTTCCACGTCTATTTTATTTGAACATCTGGTTTGAGCAGTTGCATTCACTGAGCTGTCCAGGACTTAGCACCCACTGGTAAGGATTATTTCGGGCGAAGTCTATTTTCCTGTGGAGACACCAGCGCCTAGAGCTGTGACCCCCCCCAGCCTGGAGGCAGCTGACAATGTGCTCCTTGCTTCCCTGTCCACACAAGTTCTTCTATCAGTTTTCTGATGCACGAAAATAAGAGTCTTTTTCCATTGTGTCCCAGGGACACGAAACACAGGCTACAGAGCACATTATCAGTACTGGTGCTCAGCATGGATTGGATGAAAACCTGAAGGTCCTTCATTTCCTTTTGGCAGTGTCTTTATTGATAAATGGGACACTGACAGTTTTGTAGGGAATCAAATGTCTACCAAAAATGAGGCAGGACCACCTTTCAAATATCCACTTTAATAACAATAAATCCAATTTAATAGAAACCAAAGAAAAGTCTCAATATTTATTATTAAGCAGGCATTGTCATGACCATTTCAAAAGTAGGAACTTCAAAATGTGCTTCAAAAAAAATATGAACCAAAGCTTGGAGCTAGTGTTACAGAATCTGAAAATGATCTTCAAGGCCAAGTTCAGTTTCTTAATTGGCACAGAGTAGTTAAGTACGTGTTCTTACTTTTCACACACCCAGCAGGTGTCCAAACATTCAGGTTTTTAGGTCAGTTCTGCCAAGGCATAGGTTAAGATCAGAAGAACGCCATAGGGAATAAACATTTACCCTGTAGATGCTATAAGTATGGAGATATGGTTCACATCTATCTTGTGGTTCCAGGGTTTCTGTAGCTGCGTGAGACTTGCCTCTACCTGAAAATGATTCTTTGACTCATCACTTTTCTCAGAGCAGCCAGCACCTCCTTGTTTCTCAGACTGTAAATGAGTGGGTTGAGCATGGGCGTGAAGATGGTATTGACCATGGAGAGTACTTCATCCTGCTCTGGTGTGTGAAGTGAGCGGGGCGTCATGTAGATGACCGTGGCTGGCCCATAGTAGAGGCTCACCACAGCCAGGTGGGAGGAACAGGTGGCCAGCGCCTTCCTCCTGCCCTCTGGGGAATTCATTCGAAGGACTGTGAGGAAGATGAGCACATAGGAAGATGAGATGAGTCCTAAGGGAAGAAGAACAAACACGATGCAGATGACGGACACCACTGTTTCGTACAAGGAGGTGTCCTCACAAGACAGTTTCAGGAGGGCAGGCATCTCGCAGAAGAAGTGGTGGATTTCCCTGGAGCTGCAGAAGGAGAAACGCATGGTGTGGATGGTATTGATGAGAGAATTCAGGACGCCTCCACCCCAGGACAGGAGGGCCATCTGCAGACAGACTCTGGAGCTCATGATGATCGGGTATCTCAGGGGGTGGCAGATGGCCACATAGCGGTCATACGACATGAGGGTCAACAGGAGACACTCACCACCACCGAGGGCAAAGAAGAAGAAGATCTGGGCTCCACAGGCAACTTGGGAAATGTTCCTCTTCCCAGAAAAAAAGTTGATGACTGTCTTGGGGACTGTGGTGGAAATCAAAGCCAGGTCAATGAGGGCAAGGTGGCTGAGGAGAATGTACATGGGGGTGTGGAGGTGCGAGTCCACCCAGATCAGGAGCATGAGGACGGCGTTCCCAGCGAAGGCCATGACGTAGACCAGAAGGATGGAAACCATGAGGATGCCGATGTACTGCAGCTCCGGGAAGAGCCCCAGGAGAAAGAAATCTGTCCCCGTTTCGTTCCCTCCGCCCATCTTCTCACCATTTGGACTTGAACCAGAGCTTGTGGAGAAGATGCTGGGTAATGCTGATGAGGCCTACTGGCTTTGTTTTTCCTATAACTTTATCAGAATGCCTCCTTCGAACATCATCATCGGTGTAAAGAAAGAATAAGAACAACGTTCAACAGCGAGGCTTGGAGTTTTCATTGTAGAAAAACTTCCTTTTTTTAGGGAAAAGTACATTTGGATATGAAAGGTGAGGTCCTGGGGCTGCTGGCTGAAGTATTTGAAAACTTTGCATGCAATATTAATGTGGACTTACAGGTGGTGAAACATAAACAGACCAGGCCAGAGGGGTCACAGAGCCCTGGAGGAGGAACTCCCAGAAGAAGGTGGCCAGCAGTGATCTAAGAATAAGAACATGGGTTATTCACATGTGTTTTGTGTGTGTGTGGCTGGTGTATAAATTCCTGTCACTATGGCTGAGCTTCGCACAGATGGCCACGCACGTAGGCCCTCTACTGGGTGCACGTGAGGCCACCCGTCGTCCTGAATGTCGCTGGAGGGAGCAGGGCAGGGCAGTATCTGACACGGGATGCTGGGACACAGAAAAGGACTGCATGAGCAGATTGGCACCAGGAACCACACCGTGAACGGCTACTGCGTGAGCCACAATGGAGAACGGAATACTCAGCTCCTTCCCACGCTGCTGTCCTCAAGGAGCACACAGAAAGCTTGGAGAGAGGTTAGGCGTGGAGCGGACATTTGTGACAACTTTACCCAGATTTGGAAGGTGCTAGTAACCCTAGCTAACGTCGGCCTTCTGTGTAGAAGGTTGCTGTCAGTTCAATAGTAGACAAACAGTCCCCCCTCTAAACAAAGCTGATCAGGGAACTGTCTTGAAGTTTACTCCCGCTTTCAAAGCACATCAGATGATGTTAGAAGGGGCATCAGAAGTCTGCTAAAGATGCTTTTCAATAGGTTTTATTTTTTAGAGAATTTTGACGTTCACAGAAAAATTGAGAGGAAGGTGCAGAGATTTTCACTGCCTCTGTCTCAAATGTGTGGCCTCCCCCTTTAATGACATTTACCCCCAGAGTGGCACCTCTGGACTACATTGCTTCATCCTTATTACCCAAGACTATAACTTGCCTTCTTCCTGGGATGTTTTTAAGGTGATCGGAAACTAGTGTTGTCCTTACAGACTGACTGGTGTGGAGTCTTGAATTTTAGGAGGGTGGGCATCCCAGAATGTCAGGAGGATGTGTGGGCATTCCTCAAAAAAGCCCCCAACCAGACACACGTTGAGCCTCGCGTCCCTGTGTAACAGGCATCTACTGGTACCGGTCTGTGCATCACCTGGGAGAAGTGTGCTGTGTTTTCCGTGAGTGTCCCTCAGTGCTTTGCAGAAGACCTGGCGCAGACAGGAGGAGAGCAGAGAAGGAGGGTGGAGGAGGAAGGGAATGAGCCTGCTGGGTCTTCGCCTCCCCAAGTCCTTGAGCTCCTTGTGAGCGATGACTCTGGTGTCGCCTTCCTGCATCCAGCTGAAAGTGGAACAGCAGCCCTTGATCTCTTCCAACCATCAGCACAGAGTGGACCAGGCCAGCAGTGATGGGAGCGGTGTACGCTGACTCTCCCTGGAGGTCACAGGTTTGGTTCCGCTTGTTTACCTTCCGGAACCGGACAATGCCAACATGACTCTGGCTTTCACCAAAAGTGAAGAAAAAGAAATAAGAACATTACCTAAGGAAGAAAGTGACATCAGAAATAATGGCGAAATTTAAAATAAATTTTGGGAGTGGTAGAAATGCGAATATACAGAAAGATGAAAGTAGTTGGGGAGGGGATCAGGGCGAAGTGCCAGCGGGGAGGAGGAGGTCCCTGCTGTGATTCCTTCGGGAATTACAGCGTGCTGTGTCTCCTCTGTGGTCAAACAGGTGACAAGGACAGATCTGGATCGGGGCCTGTAGCACATCTCTTCCCTGAGGATGACCCCACAGCCATCCTGCACCCTCCTCCTGCCCCAGCTTCTCCCTTGCCGGGAGCGCTACCTAGCAGCCCTGTCACCTGCCAGGGCCTCCTCCTCCTCCTGTGCTGCTCCTGTGCTCTCTCACCATCCTGGGAACGGGATGGGCACTGACCTGAAACATCCCCCAGGCAAGGGGACCAGTAAAGCAGCGGGTTAGTGAAGCTGCCACCATCCGGACACTGAGGGATGAGTAGTTGGCGGTCCGTTAGGCAGGGTGCTGTCTAAGGAAATAAGTGCCTGCTGTTATGGAAACACTTCTGGGACCCTGCCGCAGTGGTTGCCTGGGAATTCTGCCCCCAGACATTAATCAACGCTGTTCTCTGCTGCTGCCGGACCTCCCTCCGGATTCCAGAGTAGCTGTCTAGTCAGGCAGGAGGGACCTCGGAGGGCCTTGCTCGGGTGCCCGGGTGCCGCCTGGGAGGCGGCTGGGGATTCGCTGGTGATACCGACTGGCACACAGAGCTGAGAGAAGAGAAAGAGCACACAGGTTTGGGTGACATTATCTTCACACCTGCAACAAAGGAAGGGGGAGAGGAGGTTGAGAGGATATGTTTATGGGCAGAAAAGAAGACAATGCGCAGGTCACCTTCGTCGTGTGGAACTTGTCCATGATGCACTGAATTCCTACTTTTCTCCCGTTGGCCTCCTCTCCCCTCAGCCCTTCTTTCCCTCCTTCTTTACAAAAACATTGTTTCCATTCATCTTTTTGTTCTCATTTTTCTTTTCCCTTTCTTTCTTCCCCTACCCCTCCCTTGGGCTCCTTCCCATTTGAACATTTTCTTCTTATCTCACAATATATGTTATATACATTTTCGTCCTGTTTTATACTTTCAGTTTCTGACACCAGAGAAACAATGCAGTTTTACACCTGTGTGCCCCATTTGTCGCTAGGGGCATCCATTTAGCTATAGAAGTCTCAATTATATATATATTAAAAAAACAAATTGTCTTTATCCATTCATTGGTTGATGGGCATTTGACCTGTTTCCAGGATTTAGCTATTAACAACTATGCTGCTATGAACATATATATGCTGCTATAGCATAAATCACTGTAGTTTGATGCTTTTAATTTTTTTAGAAAGATGCTAAGGAGGGAGATGGCTTGGTCAAATAAAACCTCTAGTCCTAGTTTTTTTTGTTTTGTTTTTTTTGAGACAGGGTCTCACTATGTAGTTGAGACTGACCTGGAACTCACTATGTAGCCCAGGCTGGTCTCGAACTCACAGAGACCCTCCTGCCTCATCCTCCCAAGTGCTGGGATTACAGGCTTGAGCCACCATGCCCAGCTTCTAGTCCTAGTTCTTTGAGGAATCTCCACACTGATTTCCACAGTGGTTACACCAGTTTACACTCCTACCAACAGTGAAGAGCCCCACCACGGCTCTGCCAGCATTTGTTATTGGTTGATTTCTTGATAATAGCCATTCTTTCTAGAGTGAGACACAATCACAGAGATGTTTTAATTTGCATTTCTTCTTTTCTTTTCTTTTCTTTTCTTTTCACTGGGAATTGAACTCGGTTCCTTGCACTTTAGAGGCAGGCAGTGGAATCACTGAGCTAAATCCCCAGCCCTTTAACTTGCATTTCTTGAATGCCCAGTGATGCTGGACATTTCTTCATATTTATTTGTCATTTGTACTTCTTCATTCAAGAAGTGTGTATTAGTCTCAGGTGCCCATTTTTGTATTGGGTCTGTAAATTTGGGGGGGATTTTTTTCAGTTCCTTATATATTCTATGTATCAGTCTTTTGTCTGAGGAAGAGCAGGCAAAAGTTTTTTCCCCACACTTGGTTATCTCTTCACTCTGTTGGTGATTTCTTTTGCTGTGCTAAAGTTTTTTAACAAGAGGTGATCCCAGTTTTTTATTCTATGTAGTATTTCCTGTGTGCCTGGGGTTTTGTTGTGAAGTCTTTGCCTACACCTATGTCCAAGAACCAAGAGTTCTAACTATTCTTTCTTCCAGCAGATTTGGTGTTTCTGTTTTAATATTTGATCTTTCATCCAGTTTGATTTTAGTTTAGTGCACGGTGAGAAACATGGGTTTAGTTTTAGTCTTTAGAGTGTGGAAAGCCAGTTTTCCCAGCACCATCTATTAAAGAGCTCATCTTTCTTCCAGAGAACACGTTTGGCTCCTTTGTCAAAGATAAGGTGGCTGAGTGTGTTTGGAAATGTTTCTGCACCTTCTAATCTGTTCCACTGACCCTCAGGTCTGTTTTTTTTTTTTTGCCAATACCATGCTGTTTTTATAACAGTAACTCTGTAGTATAATTTCAAGTCAGGGCTTGTGATGCCCCCTGCCTTGCCTTTGTTGCCCAGAATTATTTTTGCTATTCTGGGCCCTTTCTGGCTCTAAATAAGTTTTAGGAATATTTTCTCTAGATCTATGAGGTATGCTATTGGTATTTTGATTGATATTGCATTAAATGCGCAGAACAATTTTTAGAGTATGGCTATTTTCACTATGTTGGTTCTTCCTACTCATGAGCAAGGGATATCTTTTCATTTTCTGATATCCTCTTTGATCTTTTCTAGAGTACTGTAATTTTCAATGTAAATATCTTTTATTTCCTTTGTTATATTGACTTCTAAGTATTTCATTTTTTATGCTATTATGAAAGGCATTGTTTCCCTAATTTCCCTCTCAGTAAGTTTGTTATGTGTGTACAAGAATGCTATTGATTTTTGAGTATTGACTTTATATTCAGCTATACAACTAAATTTGGTTAATAAATCAAGAAGTCTTTTGGTGGAGTTTGTGGGGTCTTCTATGTAGAGTACCATGTCATCTGCAAATAATAGTAATTTAATTTCTTCCTTATCTTTGTTCATTTTATTTCTTTCTCCTGTTTAATTGCTCTGGCTAATGTTTCCAGAACTGTATTGAATAGGAGTGGTGATAGTGGGCATCCTTTTCTTCTTCTGATTTTAGAGGGAAAGCTTTCAGTTTTGACCATTTAATATGATATTGGCTATTGGTTTGTCATACATGGCTTTTATCAGGT